CTGGTTGATTAAAGGACAGATTGTCTCCTCCGCCCCATGAGTGTATATTTCTGTTGCAGACATTTCTGTCTTAGCAACAGCGTAATCTCTAGTCCCATTTTGGTTGCCGATGAGACTGAGGCGAAGTCAAGTCTGACAATGATGGAGGTGGAGTCTGCTTGTCTCCCTTAACGTTGATCGTCAGAATAGGCGACAAAATAGCCGGTCAACTTCGATTTGTAGGGCATCTGCAAGTCCTGTCAGTCTTTGATGAACCAAGTTTATGTTGACATTTCATGTGTTGTCTTTCCGATCCAGTCCCTAAGGAGATCCAGGACGCCTACATCCTCGGTTCAGACGCCAACTCGATTCAGCTAAACTGGCGTCCTCCGATCATCAAAAATGGAGAGATCAAGTTCTACTACATTGACTACACCAAGACTGGAGTGAACATTTCCTCCAATGACTGGAATCGCATCATTCTGCCATCAGACCGTTTTTCGATAGGCATTGAAAACCTGGACACTTGCACCACATACAACATCTCCATTCGAGCTGTGAACAGCGCCGACTCGAACGGTCGTGGCGGAGGAGTCGGAAGTCCCAGTTACTTGCAAGGCAACACCTCAGCTCAAGGTAGGCACCTGCCTCGGTCTGGGCGCCAAAGGGTCGGCTTGGCCAATCCGAATGTTAAGGTTTGAGTAGAAAAATTGCATACAAGTTGTTCATTAAGTCGAGGCTAAGAAGAGCGATGGTGCTTTGAAGAATTCCACAGTGATATGTTGTTTGGTGAATTACCAGTTCGAAGAAAAATATCGGCTATAATGAAGGCCAGGAACCCTGAAAACGGCATCCGGTACCGGTGGTGAAGAGAATGATGCTTTAATAAATCCTCCCGTAGCGACGCATTCTTAGGCGGCATTGGAGGAAGTGAGGGCACAGAATTGTGTGAATAGGGGCAGATGGGCCGTATGAAGTAGGCTGGAGAGAAAGAGATGCTGCTCTAGAAGGTGGGATTGAGGCTTGAGGCCACATCGGTTGAACAGGAAATTGGTCAAAGGATCGTCTTCACTTGTCCCTTTGATAAGTTGTAATTCTGTGCTGATGATGGCGCCTCTCCCTGGCGTTTTGGGAATGTGTTAATTCAATGGTCCGATGCTGGAAATCACGAATGCTATGGCAGAGGAGCATGACTAGATACATTCCACAAGGTCACCCTGACACTGCTCGACTCGTTAAGTTGAATTTGGCTTTAAGAATTATACTCTACTCTAATGAGGTTCGTCATATGACGGAAGAAAGCTTAGCATGTTTTGCGAATAAAAGTTGTGTTTCGAGGAATCTCTTGTTTCATAATTGTATCATACTACCGCAGCCGAATAAACTGTTTCTTGGCGATTAATACTTTGAATAGCCATTAAAGGGGCCGAGCTACTTACAAAATTATTCAGTAGATCTTATAAATATTTGAGTTATTATTCTTTCCTATTAAGCTTTCGGAGTAATCGTTATTTACAAACAGTTAGCCTAAATTGATGAAAGCTTACATCTAATTTATGTTGTTGAGCTTACTTCCATTTCGAGTGAAAGTGTTGGGTGAATAGATTCGAAGGTCGGTTCCACCAGAAGACAACGACGGCCGATTCCTCTTGACCAGCTTTCGATTGGCTTTACTGAAAGATCCATGTTGACGCTGTCTCCGAGGCAATCTACTTCGATTCCGGTGAAAAGGTGCAAAGCTTTCGTCCGTCATATGACGGACGTCATCAGAGCGAGGTACCATCGTCACAACGAAATTCAAGCTAACGAGTCAAGAAAACTCACCGGCAAATCCCTAAAAAGTGGTACATATAGTCTACATCTGGCCATTTTGATCAAGTATAAAGTGATTTGGTTAGTCAAGGTCATTTATCATGTGAGTGTGTCTGTCTCTGTTTGTGTATGTGTATGTGCCTGTTTGTGCTCGAAGTGATGGCTCAAAGTAATTAGGACAGCAAAAAGAAACGTCTGTTTTTGGCCATCTGAATAGGCAGATGGGTCATATGAAGAGAACGAGATGCTGAATTAGAAGGTGGGATTGAGGGTTGAGGCCACATCGGTTGGACAGGAACTTGTCCCTTTCATAAGTTGTAGTTCTGTGTTGAGGATGGCGCCTCTCACAGGCGTTTGGAAATGTATCAAGTCAATGGTGCGATGCTGGAAATCACGAATACTCTGTCAGAGTAGCATAAGTAGGTACATTCCAGAAGGTCCCCTGACACTGCTTGACTCGTTAGGTTGAATTTGGTATTAAGAATTACACACTCCGCTCTAAAGATGCTCGTCATATGACGGAAGAAAGGTTAGCATGTTTTCGCCAGAGTCGAAGGTGCTCACCTCGAAAACAGCCTCAACAAGAAGGTTCAAGTAGAGCCAATCGACAGCTGGTCTTTGTTTGCGGTGGGAAATCGACTGCACGAAATCATACAGTGCTTGGTCCCACCTCATTGTCTAAGGCCTATTCACGATGCTGACAATCGTTCCTTGTTTGTATGAGTAGAGATGTGGATGCAACAAAAGTGATGAGAGCTTATCGATATTGGTGGATGAAGTGGTACCAAGTGGCTTAGATGCATCTGCACAGAACAGCATCCTGAATAGATCAGCTCTCGCCGCATCTGATGTCAGCTTTCTCGTAGCAGTAAGCTTCAAGGATTGACAAAAGTGCTATTTGCGATGCTTGCTGCAGAGAAAGCAAGCAAAATCCTAGAAAAGGATGTAAAGCATTACTCATTTAGAGACTATAAGCTTAAATAAAATAATAACATTTTATATTC